TATGTATGGCTCAAAACAAAACAAAAAACTAATAATACCAAGTACTGGAGAGGATATGGAGCAACTAGAACGCTCATTCATTGCTGACAGGAATGCAAATTGATACACCCACTTTGGAAAACACTTTGTAAGTTCCTAGTAAGGGCAAGCATATACTTACCATACCACCAGCACTCATACTCACCAAGTGAAATAAAAAATTATCTCACAAAAACCTGTATGTAAATATTTCTAGTGACTTTATTCATAATCGCCAAAAACTGGAAACAGCCCTAACGTCCCTCAGCTGGTGAATGGATAAACTATGGCTCACCCATATGGTGGAATACTGCCGTCTATTAAAATGAAATCAACTAGTGATACACACCACATAGATGAATCTTAAATGTATTTTGATAAATGGAAGATGCCAGAATCAAAAGGCTACATACTGTATCATTCAATTTGCCTTCTCAAAAAGGTAAAACAATAGGAACAGAAAATGGTTCAGTGGTTGCCAGGAGTTGTAGATGGGGGAGCAGTTGGGTACAAAAAAAAAGACAAAAGAATTTGGGAGGTAATGGAACTATTCTGCATGTTTATTTTGGTGATGGTTACACGAGTAAACACATTTGTCAAAGCTCATAGAACTGTACACCAAAACAGTGGATTTTGCAGCATGTAAATTTATAAAAGTGAATTTAAAAAGTAGAAGAGGGAAATTTCCCATGTAGAATTCCAAATAATTTATGTAGATACTCCATCCTCAAAGAGGTGGAGTCTAACTCCTCTATCCTTAAGTGTGAGCTTCCCATGGTGACTTCCTTCCAAAGAGTCCAGTACATAAAAGAAGGACAGGAGAGAGGGAAGAATAACTTTACCACGGAGAAACCTAACAAGCGAACACTACCTCAGCCAGGTAATCAAGGTTAACATCAACAGTGGTAAGTCATGTTGGTAATATGTACCCTTGATATGACGTGGTAAAAATGATCCTTAACCTCTGTAGTCTATCTCCTAAAAATTCAAAACCCCAGCGAATCATGAGAAAAATATCAAACAAATCCCAAGAGGGGCATTTGACAAAATACCTGACCAGCAGTCCTGTAAACTGCCGAGGTCATCAAAAACGAAGTCTGAGAAACCGTCACAGCCAAAAGGAGCCCAGAGGCATGACGATTAAATGTAATGTGGTATCCTGCATGGGGTCCTAGAACAGAAAAAGGACATTAGGAAAAACATAAGGAAATCTATGTAAAGTGTGGACCTCAGTTAATAATGAGGTATCAATACTGGTACATTAATTGTAACAAATGAACCATACTAATGTAAAATGTTAATAATGTGAGAAATTGGGTGTGGGGTTTATGGGAATTCTCTGTAGGATATTTGCAATTTTTCTGTAAAATCTAAACTGTTCTAAACAAAGTTTTTTTTTAAGTGGGTCAGGGATTAGGCAGTAGTTGGTATAGGACAATGAGTCATTGGAGAAATTTCTTAGGATAAGAGAGACTTGGAGCTGTTTATAGGCTGAAGAAAAAAAAGCTGACAAGAAAGAGGAAAAAGATAGGGTTCAAGATGATGACAGATGAAGCAAAGGGAGAAGCAAAAGGAAACAGGATCACAGGCACAGTTGGAGCAGCTGATGATCTGCATAACGAGGCTTCCCTCATCCTCTGAGACTTTAGGAAAGGAGGGGAGGATAACGGATATAGATAAGTTCTTTACTTCTTAGGATAAATAAATATTTACAAATGGAAAACCCTGAACTCTTTACAAAACCTTTGATTCCTTGATTTTAACCATGGCAGTCTCATATTCAGGATTTTCCAATGCCAATCCTAATAACAAAGAAGCCCAGGGGCTGTGTTTACTTGGCAGAACAGGTATTAAGGATTGCTGCAATGAAGGTACAGCTCTGATTAGATGTTGACACCATTTGGCTGTTTGTCACACCAGAAGATTCCAATTAGTGCCAGACTCTTCATCTGTACAGTTTGGTGGCCCTATTTCAACCCTGAGTAGAAAGCTATTAAGATCCTGTTGGTTGTAAGCAATGGAAATCCCACAGGCTGGCTGAAGCATAAGAAGGGATGGAAGGAAAAGAAGAGCCAATATTCAGGGAAGAGCAGGGACCTATGCAACTCTGGGGTCATAACAGCAGCAGTGGGTAAGTCGTCTCTTCAGGACACACTCTAACTAATAGAAGTCCAGCAATTTCCAGGCTCTGTCCTGCTCTGTGTTTCGAGTTCCTGAGAATGACTATAACTGTACTAATTTTAGTTGGGTGTCTACCTCTGGATCAACTGGCAGCAGCCAAGGGACGAATAGCCTAAATCTGACAAGGCCACTGGGGCTTTGGTCCTGTGCACAGGAGCCATTTACAGTAAAGGGAAATTTTGTGCTAGGCAGTTGCCCCAAGAGATGTGCATTGTGCACAAAAAGGTTGCACGGATTCTCTTCCACAGGAGGTCACCATCAGGATATGAGGCAAAACAGAGCTCAGTGGTGTTCTGATTTTTCCCTGCACAGTCTCAATATCCCAACACAGTTTTGTCTAAGGCCTACAAAAAATTACCCTCATTCTCATGTTTATATTTTAAAAATTTGTTTAAATTACTGACAAAAAATCTTACACACTTTCATTCTCATTCTGTCCTTTATCTAAAAGATTATACTTCTAAACACTTAGAATGGTCTTTAAAATGCTACTACTCTGCTCAAAAACTTACAGAGGCTCCCTATTACTTACCATATTAAAATATCTAAGAATTTAGAGTTTCTTATCAAATTGCTCCTCTCTGCCTTTCCCAACTCCTTTGGTTTTTTTGAGATGGTTTCGCTCCATTGCCTAGGCTAGAGTGCAGTGGTATCACCATAGCTCACAGCAACCTCAAACTCCTAGGATCAAGCAATTCTGCCTCAGCCTCCCAAGTAGCTGGAACTATGGGGTCTCGCTATGTTGCTCGGGCTGGTCTCAAACTCCTGACCTCAAGCAATCCTCCCACCTCAGCCTCCCAAAGTGTTGGGATTACAGGTGTGAGCACTGTGCCCAGCTCTCAACTCCTTTTTTATTAAACACTAGTTGAACATACAATGTTCTCTGCTTTCTAGACATTCTCTACTTTTTAGACACTAACATGGATATGGTAACCATTTTTGTCAATCTTATTGACAAGAACTTACAGACATAATGGAACCAAATATCTGAACTCATATCATCCCACAATATTTGTGGTATATGTGTGCCATAACTAAAGAGTATGCAAAAAAAAATGTTGAAAATATAGTCTCTACCTTGCAAAGACTATTCGGTAAAGTACAGGCTACTCTCTAGCAACCTTTTGACCTTGTACAGTCAGAGTCCCAGCTGCCCCCAGACTTGTACTTGCCTCATTCACTCCCACCTTGCTTTTTGCTATTCCTTTGACCTTTAAAATAGTATGTTGTGCCTCATCATTCTATTCTGTGTCCCCAATTTGTGGAGATAAAGCAGACCAACTCCAAAAAGTCTGTACTTTCTAACCTCTCCATTCTCTGAACAATGATTATAACATAGTAAAAGCTGTCTCTTCTGAACATGAGAAAAACTGCATGTAACAAGAAAATGAATTTGACAAATTTTGATATTGTTTTTAATATTTTAATAGCAACAATAAGTGGTTATTATACATTTTCCTTAACCCAAGCACCTCGCTTCATGAAATAATCTGTCTCTCCCACCTCAGAATTCCATTGCATTTCATTCCTCTACCGTGCACAACTCATTCTCTCTTTTGTATTATGATTATGGTTCTCAGTCAATGCTTGTCTCCTCTATGAGATTATTCCTCCTTGAGGGAAAGTACTGTGTCTTACTCTTATTTGCACCCCTTCTAGTTCTCAGCACAATGTGTGGCATACTCTAGATGCACAATACACATTTTTTGAATGAAGGAAGGAATTAACCAGAAGAGACTTCTGTGGTGATATTATTATAGCCTCCTTTTCCATACAAGCCTGCCAAACAGCCTAGAAATAAAACACTTAATAAAAACAGTTCAGAGAGCCCTATCTGTGAAATTGTTGGTAGATGTAATTCTAAAGAAAGTCAGGGGATCCTCAGACTATACAGAAAGCTCAGACTGCTCTTTAGTGTTAGTTTCACAACAAGCAAAATAATGATAGTGGTTCCCGAGAAATAGTACGAATTTTAGAACTCCCTATATTAATGGTTTGCAGCCCCTCCTTTCTCAGTGGCAGTACAATAAAATGGTTAGGAGCTTGGGGTCTGAAGTCAGAACACCTGGATTTCAATCTTACCTCTGTCACGTAGTAGTTGTGTGACCTTAGGCAAGTTGTTTAACCTCCCTTGTGCCTCAGTTTCATCACTGGCAAAATGTTGAAACTAACAGTACACTCTGTCAAAAGGATGGTGTGAAAATTAATGACAATATATTTAAGGCAGCAGTCCCCAACCTTTTAGCACCAGGGACCATTTTCATGGAAGACAATTTTTCCGTGGACTGGGGAGGGGGAAGATCGTTTCGGGATGATTCAAGTGCATTACATTTATTGTGCACTTTATTTCTATTATTATGACTTCATTGTAACATATAATAATTATACAACTCACCATAGGTTGAGGACCCCTGATTTAAGGTGTTTAGAATAGTACCTGGCACTTTGTGTTTTAAAATGATAGCAATATATAGTACTATACTTATTTTGTATCCCCTGTTGGTAAATTCCATGTTAAGGGCAAAATGAGTCCCTTCTCCCCTCCCCGCGCCCCCCCACCCTCCGCTCCTAGCATGCTGTTCAAAACATAATGTGAATTATATTTGAGATATATAAATTGAATGCACAAGAAAATGAAGGCATGTTAAAAATGCAAATACAATTCATGGAAATTGAAAGGTTCTCAGCATATCATTGCATATCTTCAGTTATTTCCTTATAACTAGTTGCTAGGTGCCTTATGATCTTTTTCTTGCCCTCCTCAAAGCATGCAGTTTGGTGTAATGCACGTTACAGCCCTCAGAACTGCTGGCCTCCTGACAAGCTGGTTGTTTGGATAGTCTGAAGGATGAGGCTGCTGCAGCAAAAAGTGGGTTATGACAGCACAGCTTTCCTGCTGGAGATGAATGACCAATAATCCCAGAAAACAGCACACAGGACGGGTTGGGCCAGCAAAGGACTTCGTGAAGGCTCATTTGGACACTCTGGAGGCCAGTGGGGTACTACAAAGGTGAGTTCCACAGTGCCAGGGTCGTGAGCCGGGAGACCTGGGTGGATGACTGGTAGGGCCTGCGGGATGAGTCATTCTCCCTAGCCTGGGCACGTGCTGGTAGCAGCATCCTTCGGGACCCCGCCTCCGCCCTGGAGCGGGCGGAAACGAAGAGCAGCCGCGGGCCGCCTCCTCGGGCTGGCACTGACCTTGCAGCAGGCGGCCGGCTGGCGCAGTCCTGGAGCCGCAGTGCCGGGCGCTCGCTGGGGGCGCCCACCCGCACCTGGGCTGACAGCTAGTCGGAGCCGGCCGCGGCGCTCCAGCGCTCCAACAGCGCCCCACGCCCGCGCGCCTGTCGCCCGCGGAGCCTCCAGGGCCGCGCCTCCGGGCGCAGGAGGGCGGGGCGGAGCGCGCGCCCACCGTCCGGCCCCGGGCGCCTCGCGCTGGCGCACACGCCGCAGCCGCGCGGGGCGGGTGGGTGTGCACCGGGCGCGCGCGCCGCCGCCGCCGCCTCTGCCTGCCGCTCCGCCCGCGCCGCCTGCTGCCGGCGCTCGGCCCAGCAGGCTGGCTCCTGAGCTGCCGAGGGCAGCGCGGGGCTGGTGGTGCAGAGTCCGCCTGCCCGGGACCCGCGTCCCGCACCCGGACGGTCCCGGTAAGCGGGGTCGGGGGCGGCGGGGACCGGGGCTGCACCCTAAGGGGCGGGTCTGCGGGCCGCGGACAGTCCTGCGGGGACTCTGAGGTGCTTGTGTGGGAGCCGCCTCCAAGGTGGCCCCTGTGTCAGTGGATGAACCCCTAGGGACTGCTGCCTCTACCCGTTGGGAGAGTCCCTTAGGTGGTGTGGGCAGCTGCCCCCATGAAGACCCCCTATGTGGTTGGAGACTTCCAGAGCTCTCTCTGCATTTGCTGCCATGGAGACCCCAGTGTGGAGGGCACCGTCCCCAGGGAGACATGTGTAACTACGGGAGCAAGCGCAAGGGTGGTGCCTGGAGTTGGCTCGATGGGACACAGGGGAGCCTCAGGAGCCTGCGCGGTGGTAATGGACCCTACAGAGGACCCCCCAGAAAAGGAGGATCTTAGACCGTGCCCTACAGCAGTCTGGAAGGAACCTCTGACAGGGGAGAGGGAGGGATCCTGCCATTCGACCTATAAGTGACTTCCCATAGCTGCAAGGACTTTGGCCTTGACCTCCCTGTGGGGCTCTATGTGCCCTCACCTGTCTCCCACCAACATGGTCGAGAGGTGGGGGCCTTGTGAGGCTGCGGCCTCTTTCCATTTCCCCTCCCCCACACTGGGATTTTTCTTAACGTGGTGGCCCACTGGGCTCCAAGCTGGATTTCAGTGGAGGCAGAAACTGCTATGAGAGCACAGGACTCAGGGAGGGATGAGGACCAGTGAGGCCTCTGAAGCAAAGATAGGAGATTGAGCCCCTGGGCTTGACCGTCCGGAAGGAAGCAGTAAGATCAGGTGGAATGACTGACTTTGGCAGGTTCTGGAGGGAACATCTTTTGAATGAAGAACTAAAGGATGTATATGATTATTGAGCACCAGTGTGCCAGGTGCTATACTAGGTATGTTTAAACATATCATATAATCCTTACAACAGCCTTTGAAATTATCCCTTTTTAAATAGTAGATACTTGAGACTCAGAGAGGTTTAGCAATTTGCCCGAGATCACAATGCTTAGAATCATGAAATCTGTTTTTCAAATTTTATTTGGAAAAAAGTATTAAGGAGAGCCGGAATAAAGAATGGATGTTTGTTAATAAGTTGCATTTAGGTGCCAAGTATAAGGCTTTGCAATGATATATGTTCAGTAAATGTGATGATTAAACAAGTGGATGAGGACAGTTTAACTGGAGATGAGACTGCTGTAGGAGCTGATCCCCAGACTTCAGGGTGTGGCTTCTTTCATTGGCAGCCCCACTGTAATGATGCCTTGGGGTGGCTCTGGACCTAACTGGGTCTAGGAGAGGTCTCTGGGTATGGTCTTTGACAGGACTTGCTCTGGGGCAGTAGAGGGGCCCTTCAGAGGATAGAGTGTCCTGAGGCCACCCTCCCTGCTGCAGAATCTATGAGAGGAAGGAGAGACGGGATCATTTTTAGGAAGCATGATCCACACTGTCCTTGTGGTTCTCGGACTACATGCACCAGTGGACATTAGTCCCCAGATACCACTCAGGACACTTTTGCCCAACAGTGCCTGTGCACAGGAGGAGGAGCCCGAGAAAGGTACAGAGCCAAGGAAGGCTTATGGGGAATCTGTTGGCTGGGTGTGCAAAGGGTATGCGCCTGATGTAGTCATGCCCCCTCATCTCGCCCCCTCAATATTTTCATTCCCGCTGAATCCAAAGGATTCAACTTGGGGACCAAGGATAAACTCTGGTTTCCTGTCCAAAAATGGGGTGGTGAAAGGGCCAAGCAATGGAATTCACTACAGAGCCATTTTGGAAGTTTTCCTTTCTTCCACACAGCCAAACCTAGTGACATCCTCCTTGAATAGCAGTGGCTTCCTTGGGCGCCTGGGATTACACAGTGAGAAGAGAGACCAAGCTAGTGAGAAAACAGAACAAGCTAGTCTACCAGTTGTTAGATTTTTTTTTTTTTAAACTCAGTAATGACTGCTTGAATGATGGGTGCGGCACCTCACGCACAGTTCAATGGAGCAGACGCTAACAGAGATTTATACTATACACCTCCCTATTATAAAGTTGTTTATAATCCCCTTTCAGTTCAAACCCCTCTCATAAGCATAAGAGACCAAAATAAGCAGGGGTATGTGTTTTTTAAAGAAAGTCAGAAAGACCAAACCTGCAAATATGATTTTTGTTCTGATTCAGAGACTTGTCATTGAAGTTTTATTCCTAAATTGGTCTTCTCACTGAGGGTGCTTAGTATCACACCCACTCATGACCCTGGAAAATTTGCTAGATGGATCCAGGTTCTCCCCAAATCTTGGACCTTGGATATCACCTCTTTCATATTCAGCACTGAGTAAACATTAAGATTTCAAAAGTCTTAAGAATACTGCCTCACTCTTCCCAATCACAGCATGAGTCTGCAAATCAAATCATTCCAGAATGTGCATGAAAGATGTCACCAGGTGGCCTTAATCTTCTCAAAAATGCTTTCTCCAAAGGGAAATAAAAGGGATGAGAATGGCTCACCCAGCTTCATTTGAGTGTACACAAATGTGTCTGTCTGCATTTTACTGTCTGGATTTCTCAACCTTTGATCTTCCACATATTCTCTGACCACATTCATATGGTTTTCTTCTGCCAACATTTGCCGTATTTTTTTCTTTTTGAGATAGGGTCTTGCTTTGTCATCCAGGCTGAAGTACAGTGGTACTATCATAGCTCATTGCACCCTCAAACTCCTGGGCTCAAGCAACCCTCCTGCCGTAGCCTCCAGGATTGCTGGGACCATGCATGGCTAATTTTTTAAAATTATTTTTTGTAGAGACAGGGTCCAGCTATGTTGCCCAGGCTCATCTCAAACTCCTGGCCTCAAATGATCCTTGCACCTTGGTCTCCCAAAGTGCTGGGATTATAGGTGTGAGCCACTGTGCCAGCATGCCACATTTTTTTGACAGTATTTCCTTTTCCTCAAACATGGGTAGTAAGACCTTCCAGTCCCATTTCCCACATTCCTTGCATTTTTTCCACTATACCTGTTCCTAAGTGGATTATATTTATATAAATGGTTTCCCTTCTCTTCAGCTATAGAGTCTATTACCTTTCAGTCCCACATGCCTCTCTCTTGCAGTGCTGCTTGGTTTCTGCTATCTTCATTTCCCAAATTGATTTATTCATTTCTGATGGGAATATCATTATCTACTTCGGCCCTCAATCTTAATGACCAAGTTCTGACAGGAATTGCTTACCAGCTTTGGACCCAGAAACCAAGAGCATCAGTCTCCTGCTGGACTCAAAATTGTTTTCTCCATTATCACATCCCCCTCCACTCTCCCTTGCTTCCAGCAATCCCCTCAGAGACCCACATGCATTCACTAAGTGCTACTTACTTGCCAGCACTATGCTAGATAAATATGAGTTCCTCGCCCTTGCAGAGTTCACACAGAACCAGTCTGCATTTCTCTAATCATTTACTATGAAGGGTAGGAAAAGTAAGGGAAAATTATAGCTTTGCAGAGTCTCTACAGGAATTAATGTAGAGTACGCCTTTTCCCAGGCATCACTGACACTCAACTGCTGTTCCGTGCCTCGTCTGCAGCCGCATTCAGCCCTCCTGCCACTGCCCTGCCAAAATTACTTTTGCCCATGTGCTTTGAGTGAACTGGCCTCACTCTTGCCTTCCTATGATAATAATGACATACCCTTATATCTGGATAGCATGTTACAGTTTACAAAGCCTTTTTACATATATGATCTCTATTTCGTTTTGAGAAATGTTTTATCGTACTAGGGTCTTCTCACTAAAGCAGCATTATGTGGGCTAACGGGCTCACTCTCTTTTTATTTGTTTGTTTTTTGAGACTTATGAGTCTCCCAAAAGGAAAGCCTCAATGATTCACTACAATCACCACCTACCAGCTCTTAGAGTGTGGAGAAGAGTTCCTTCTTAGGTCCTAAGGCCAAGCAATGTACTCACTGGTCAGCTCTAGGACTTCTGAGGGAGATCCTCCTTCCTGGCCTCAGCAAATCCAGTTCTCTGGGGTTTTTTCCCCCCTGAAATTTAAATACATATTTCCTTCTAACAAATATTTTAAGCATACTATCTCAAACCAGTTTTTTGAGCTGATGCTAATTCTTATGTGAAGGCAGGTTTCCTTGCCTATTTCTATCCAGCTCCCAGGCTGGCTTCATACCGTCTAAGTCATGATGGAGTCCCCATATAGCTCCATGCCTTGGCATGTGCTTTTACCTCTTCCTGGAATGCCTTTTTTTCCCTTATCCACTGGGGTAACTCCCACTCATATTCAAAATTTAGCTCAAGCAACACCTTTTTTTTCAATCCTACACTTATGCCCCCTACACACGCACATACGGCATTCTCACAG